TCTCTCTCTCTCTCTCTCTCTCTCTCTCTCTCTCTCTCTCTCTCTCTCTCGGCTTGCGCAAGGGACCGACACAGTCAGTCAGAGGAGCGACCGGTTCGGAACAGGAGAGAGGATCGGAGGCTGTGGGAGCCTTCGATCAAAATGTCGTCACTTCCGAACCGACAGTAAAGAAACGTCGTCGAGGGAGCCAAGTCGAGTAGCCAGCAAGGAGACAAAGAGGGAGAGAAGTCGAGAGCCCGGAGTGAGCAGAGGAGTCGGAGAGCGAGGAAGAGCGAGAGCGAGAGTTCGCAGGGAGGGATCGCGTAAGAGGCCGAAGGCCTCGTTGCTTTCGGGCTTTTAACGACTCGAATGAGTCTTGCGAGCGATGTGAGAGACACGATGTTTGGTCGTGGCTTCGACGTGCGACGAACAGCTTGACGTGGGGAGCGACATGCTTCGGCAGAGCAGGTAGGATTTGATTTTGATTTTTTTTTTTTCGGCATAATAGGTCAACAATTGTTGAACCTTATTTGTCTCCAAAAACCTGAGGGTTTTCTTCCAAAGCTTGAGAGCTTCTTCTTCCCTACTTCTTCTAAGCCTTCTACCTAGTTCTTCTCTCCACAAGTTACCCTTTCATTGTATCTTTCTTCTTAAGTTTTTATAAGTTGTAGTGTGCCTTTGTTTTAATATTATTGTTATATTTTTTATGTTTGTCTATATTTTAAGATAGGAAGGTTGTGCCTTTGCGCTATTATTTTATTGCATCAAAATCTTTCAAAGATTGGGAGCACTACAACAACTAGCCGACTACAAAAACTGATGGTGCAATTATTTCAGTATTAAACCGATCTCAAACCCATTTTTAATTATTTTATTTTACTTGTATTAAACTAGCTGGCCTAAATCTCTATTAAAGCCAAAACTGATTTATGTAAACCTCTATAAATAAACCCTAAATGTTGTAATTGAATTCAAGAAAAAAGTTTTATGTTTTCACCTTTTTCTAATCTCTCTTATTCTTCTTTTTCCTTAAGGATTCTACTCCTACTGAAAATGTGCCTTCCCCTTTTTGATGTAGATTAAGAAGCTTATCATTATGCCTAGCTTAGAACCAACTGAATCTAGACAAATGGAGAGTTTTACCACTCTCCGATCAGTGCCTCAATGAGAAAACACAAGCAAAACTCTTTCATGAAACAAGAAAAACTTAAAATAGAGCCTTAAGACTAGATTGAGCATGAATCATCAACAACCTCTACTTCAAAACAATCAAACGTAGCATTGGAGAACATATGTATAATTTCACAAGAATAAGAAATAGCATGAGTAACTATAAACCCACAACAGGCTAACATGTGTCTAGCCTAGACACGAACCTAGAGGAACCAGTAGTTCCAACATCCAAAGAAAATGAAATTAGAGGTGATGGGGGACAATATCAACAAACAAACAATCAAAAAGTAAAAGTACCATTTCAAAAGAAGATTATGGATTAATATCAAGGCATATCCCCAAAGGGATCAAGGAAAAGAGAATATTGTACTTCAATTGAATAAGAGTATTTGCAGCACAAAAATCTTGTTTGTCCACAATATTATCAAAAGAGACAACCCCACGAGTAAGAATCCTAGAGAATGATTTCATTAATTCTAAATATGCCCTGAAGCATCAATACAGACATGTCTGAAAATTTAGCAGGACTTACGATAAGAGATAAAACTTTTAAATTTCATTTTTGCCAATAAACCCCTAAGGAAGTGTAAATCCATACCTCTCAAGCCAAATAAGCAGAAATGGACCACAAATGGTCACTGGCATGGCAGTAGCAGCATCAACTTTTATTAGTTTGCTAAAACTATAACCAAATAGTATACGTTGAATGCTAGAAGTAGTAGACTAATAGATGATGTTAAACAAGCAAATAGAGGTAATAGGAGGCTCCTCAACAGTATAAATGTATGTAAACCAACCACTTTAGCAAATGTGGTAGACTAATAGATGATTTTAAACAAGCAAATAAAGGTAATAGGGGGCTCCTCCACAGTATAAATGTATGTAAACCAACCACTTTAGCAAATGTACTTGTATATCATTCGGATAATATGAATGTCGAGAGAAAAATAGAGAATAATATGCTTTCTTAAGATGATACACATACAAATTGAACATCATTTTACGAGAGAAAATATTCTTGTAAGGAGAATTGCTAGTGTTTTTTCTTTTTCTTTTTTTTTTCAACTCAAATGGCCAGCTAGCAGATATATTCAATTAGTATTTAAGAAGCCCTCAAATAAACTACAATTATAACAAGCTTGGGACATGATCTCGTACTCCAACATGGGGGAATACATGAATTGTGAAAAATGACTTAGATGTATTTATGTAAAGCATTATCTAATGTCATTAGGTGGTAATTGAGTCTTCCCTGTAGTAACTCCTTTATGCCAGGGGAAATACAAAACAACGAAAGTTTTTCTTTTCAAACCTTCCTCTTAACTATTCTTTCTAAATCCATACTTTTCATTCATTTATGTTAAGAGTTGCCGAAGGTATTAAACCTCTGACAAATAATTCTAAAAAAAAATTATCTAATGCAACCTAATACAAGTACCCAAATAATACGATAGATAATTTTTATATTGGAAAGCAATATAAAAGAAGAGGCAAAACTAGTCCTTTAGGTGGCTTGTCTAAAACTCTGGTACTACAAAAGAGAGAGCCTGGGCATACCAACAATGAACCATGAGCATCTTCATCAACGCCTATGTCATGTCCCCTAAATTCTGTCATATCTATGATGATATAAGTAAAGTAGTAAAGCCTCCTCTTACTCTTTCCATATCAAATAAATGATATTAAGGAGGGAAATTTTTTTTGTAGAGACTTCAAACTAGTTGAGAAGCACATGATTTTTTAATTAAAGATAGTGCAAAAAAGTATAATAGTACAAAAATAAAAAGCTGCTTTGAATTTATTCTTTAATTCTATACAAAATGTGAAAGTATTTATAAGCTTCTACAAAAAACTTACCATGAATATAAATCAAAATT